AACACAATGTCCCCGGCCAGGGCTCGAACCCGGACCGCTCGATCCGGAGACGAGCGCACTAACCATGAGGCCACCGCGCCTCCCTAAGGGGTACTTCCTCATTAAAAGAAGACATACCGTTTTGGTATGTCTTCTTTTACACCGACCCTGTGTGTTACCATTAGATTGGCGTGTTTTGGGGTTATTTCTACGAATATTGTGAAGTAGCATCTGAGTTCAAGACAAGTGTAAGCAGCGTAATGGGTGTGAAATACCTTAAGAAGACGATATGAACCAGTAACATCAGTATTAGGAAGCAATGAAACATTTGATACATTTATGATGGCATTTTATACATTTAACTTTGACTGTAATTGCAACTGCAACTGTAATTATAACTGTTAGCCCTTGGTATAGACAATTTTCAGATATTGAAGGTAAGAGGGAATTTAAGAAGGCAACAACAATAACAAAAAGGACCAGTTCATTCTGGAATCTAAATGTGATGCACTTAAAATAGCCAAAGTAACATGTCCAAGAATTATAATTGCATACAGTTATTGGATGGGAAAATACTAATCAAGGCTGAGCCAAAAAGCAATTCGGATTTAGCGTATCATGATTTACATTTATTGACCCCTGGCGACGTTTTCCAAACTAGATACCGTCAGGACAACCGTCGACGAACATTTTCACTCAACGGTCCTTTGTTTGCATGTTTGAAGAACAATTTGATTGAGAAGTTAAACATTTTGCAGCAGCGAACGACCGACATTTTGTCAGAATATGCGCATATTTTGCCTCCAAGGTCGAAGGGAGACAGACGTTTTGACTCAACAGTCTAATAGTTTGTCACACAGTTTGACTCAACAGTGAAAGGTGTAACCTCATTGGACCATCTAGTAACGTCGTGCCTTCCATACAACTACTGTTAACCTCCATAAAAATCGAAAAGGAAATAAATCTAGATAACGGCACCCTTAATCGATCTTTTAAAAAGAAGTGGAACCCATTGAAGAACGCCCTTCAGTAATTTTTTTTATGAGCCAGTTCCTCTGGAATAGAAACCTTTATATCCTTAAACTAAACTAAAAAGAAATCTATGAAGCGATCGTTCTTCTCTCGAGAGCCACTCGAAACCGTGAGTTTAGCACAAGTCCAGTTTGTGATTGATAGTTGTTGTCCCATTAGCCAATCAAATCATTTGAACAATTCTAACAAGGATTACGATTTGTTTATTTTAGCTTGCTTTGTCAGAGAACAGATGCACGCTGACGCCACTTTCACTCGTTTGGAAAATAAAGTTTGGTTGAAAAAACTAGCTGAATATGTGTGGAAATTAATGGATTCTTTATCTTCGGAAGCCGGAGAAACACTCGACTACGTCTCGTGTTTCCCCTACACTTCTTTCGTGCCCTGTCGCTTCTTGGGTGCTTGACAACAGAACAGAGCACAGTTGAGGCTTCTTTATTTGTTAATTATTTTAAGTACCGTAAGTACAATGTACGTAATTATATGTTTTGCAATAAAAAAATGTCATGCCTTCCCCAGGGTGGGAGAACTCCCAAATGAAAAGGTCGGGGATGCTCGTCGTCTCGCTTTGGAGTAGAAATCAAGGATTCTAGTAAGGCTTAGGGTGTTCAGGACGAAACGCCACTATTTTTAGCTGTCGAAGTATCTCTTTGGGTGCACTCGAAGATATGATGATAATTAAACAACACTCTTATTTCCGTTTTTAGGCTCCATTTCCGCCGGTCTCTTGAGTCCGGTCTACTGGCTCGGGCTCCTCACCTAAACCGCGGCTGGTAGTCGAGCGTATTCCGTTGTGGTACCACACCCAGATTGGTCTCCTTTAGGGGTTTAGTTCAAATTTTCCAACAAGCATCTCCGACCTTTTCGACCTCCACCCCCCCCCCCCGGGGGGATGTGCTTTCCCTTGATGCCCCATCTAGCGAACTCACTTTAACGAGAGATCTGGTTTTTAGTTCACCTTCCACGAATATCTCCGAAGACAGACAAACTGATGGTGGTRATTTACTCAAAAGACAAGTCTCTTTATCCAGTAATTGCCGCCCCTTAAAGAAAAAATCATCTCTATGAAGCAAGACGCAATCGATTTCTTCGCATCTTCATTGGTTAATTGGCAACAACTGGTCGCAAGGTAAGGCAGACTAGCTCATCAAAACCTCCTGACGTCACTGAGTGAGATTAATCACTAAACTGATCGTGACCTCGATGAATATTCCCCCGGGCATTTAGAAATACGCAGGCAATATAAATATCTTCCGATTCTTTCTCATCGTCAGCAACTCGTGCAGTGTGAAACGCGTGCAGTGTGCATTGGTTATGACGTCACATAATGAAAAAGCCAAATTGCGCATGCCCTGAATCTGACATCTACAAATACTGCTTATATGTTGGGTAGGATGTTGGGTAACCACGCTGACCCTCTCCAATAGTGTGCTGTCTCGCTAAAGTTCGCCAACAACATGTAACATACAACGATGCTTACGAGTGTCAAAAGAATGTATGGGTAATGAGCACAAAATCGATTTTTTTCATTGAGTACTTTTTGTTGTTGATCTTAATCGTCACTGGTTTTAAGCAAATAATTATAGTGTAGAGTCGTATCACCGGTTGTAAACTATATTTAAATTTTCGCCCTTCTTGTTGGAGGCCCTCATTGTTTGTATTCGCGGTGACAATGATTTACGTAATAATTACATCAAACACTTGTGACTCGAAGCTGCAACTCCCAGTAATTCAGAAGACGACCCAGACGATGCGCCATCGTTCGGAAGTAGACGGCTTGTCGGACATAGTTATGAGGTACTGTTTGTCTCTGTTTGTACCTGTTACAGCACAAAGCAAGTACTGAATTCAGTCATATTTAATTAGATAAGATAATTGTTGCACAGTCCCTCCCTAACGCTCACTGCAGCAAAAACGTTGCGTGACATTTGATGGGGTGTCACACAACTCAATTTTTCGTACAACTTGTGTTACAATAAAACTGCGACACAAGCTTCCAAAAAAATTGTCCAGTTTAACAGGACCTTCACGTACTAAGTGCAGGCGACACAGCTAGCACGCCTGAGTTAATTGAAGCTCTATAATTCCAATTTATAATTCAGACTCTGCGATTTTCAGGAGTAAAGCACGAAATCCAAATTTGCGGAAATTTGTTCGCGCGAAACTCGAAAAATCCAAAATCCGCGAAACACATACATACATACTTTATT